AAAAAACGTGCAATTTCATATGTTATGTTCAGCTCCATTGACCACCATGAATTAAAGCTTGATGTAACAAAACAAATATTAAAACGACTGTGCAGTGCCTGAGCGTGTCCCCCAATTGAAATTTGTAAGCTGGGCCATGATCTAGCAAGTTGAGCTCTAATTATAGAGATGATTTGACACTGGAGTTTCTCTCTCTCCCCTCGCCGTGGTGCCCACAATTCTAGTCATCTGAAACAGTGGAGAACCAGGAAATACCTAACTCAATATCAAATCTTATCACTTTCTCAACTTAAAAAACAGCCACTTGCACCAAACTCGAGCAATGGTAGGCCCCTTGCTGTTCCCCCACCCTCCTCCACCACCTCCCCATTTGGATCCACCGCCCAACCCTGCCACCGCCACCCCGAAACACACTGTCACCTCAATAATCAAAGATCTTTTAAAGCACGATTCGATCAAATTGCCAGTTTGGATCAAACAAACAAGATAAAATTAAGAAAAGCTAAATATTAACATTAATATCAAACAAAACTAGGATTTGAGGGTTCATTTTTTGACCAGTACAAACCCAAGATACAAACAACAAAAGATAAAAATTAAAATATTTCTAGTTGAATTTCTATCATGTTCTTCACCAATAATTAACATCTGAGTCTTCGGGCTCGGGCTTCTTGTTGAGGTCAACAATCTCTTGAAACCAAGAAGGTTTGAGGGATTTGTTTGCATGCTTCTCTTCTTCAAATTCACCAGCCGGTGAGAAACTATTAGTATGGAGTGCATCAACTCGGGCGCCGACTTCCGCCGCCTTGGCCCGTATGGCGGCAGCAGAGAGGTCCTTGGGCCCCGCAACGGAGATTTCATCAGGGAAGTTGAGTTTGGCCGTGGGGCCACGTAGGTAGTAGACCGCCGTGTCATAGGCTCTGGCCGCCGCCTCAGCGGTGGAGTAAGATCCCAGCCAGATTCTTGATCTTTTATTAGGTTCTCTAATTTCCGCCACCCACTTCCCCCACTTGCGCATCCTTATGCCTTTGTACGGCTTCTGACTCCTCCTCCTAGTCCCCGCCGCCGCCCTCACACGGCGGTTGCCCACAGCACCAGCATCAACAGCAGCACCACAACCCTCCATTTCTCTCTCTAAATCACTTTAAATTATAACAAGAGGTGGATTCTGTATACTTGAATAAATAGGACGGAGTATTCAAGAAACGTCAGAGAGAGAAAAGAGAAGCATGCTCAAGGCAGTGAGGTGGAGCAATTGCGGCGTCGCTTCAACAAACAGCCTGCGTATTAAGGTTCTTGTCATCTGCGTTTGCAGCGTTGTTATTCTCGAAAGCAAATTTGAGCGGAAATCAAACACCGACAAAAACCCCTTCCCTCTCTCTCTCTAATACTTGTAGATTTGTTGTATAATATATATTTATAAACGTCATCCCCCCTTTCTCTTCTATATTGATTTATC